TGTATCCAATCACTCACAATGATCCCACACTGTGGGTCGAAGGCAAATGTACCGCATGTGAGAAGGTGGGAGGCATTGACCATGGCAAGAATCCGAATGTAATTATGACAGTCAACCTGGGAATCAAATGTGTCAAAGACAGGGTATCAGAGATGTCAGAATCAACCAGAAGCACCAGGGACAGAGATTTTGAATACAGTCAGTAATAGTGAGAGACAGCTAGGTGTCAGAGAGGGTGAGTGATGGAAAGGGGTACTCAGGGCATCAGTGTTAGGTGGGGTTGATCAACAACTGAGTCCAGGGCAGCTAGGTAGCGCAGTGGATAGAGCACTGGCCCTGAAGTCAGGAGGACCTGAGTTCAAATCTGATCTCAGACCAAACACTTGACATTTACTAGCTGTGTGACCCTGGGCAAGTCACTTAACCCCAATTGCCTAAACAAAAACAAAAGAACAACTAAGTCCAATGGGGCTAGGGCCAGTGTGGAAGAGTAAAATATGGTCAGGCCAAGGTTTAGGGTTGAGGGTTAAGTTTATACTTACCTCCTTCTTGCCCTTTTTCCTGCAGCTCTGTCTGTGGGTCTCAGACACTGGCCAGTCAATCTGAGGAAGATTTAGGAGTAACCACCCTCTTCCCTAGGCTTCCTAATATCCCTCTACATGGCCTTTAGGGACCAAGACCAGAGTAGGGGAGATGGCCAAAAGGTCTTGGAGTTTGGGTTCCTCAGAGCCCCCCAAGGGAGCAGGGCACTATAGTTTTCATGGCCTCCTGGTAGCCATGATCTAACACTGTCCAGAGTCCCTGTGATCCCCCTCCAAATTAGCATCCATGTTCTCAATACCCTCCCTTGGGAAATCTATAACTCTTTTTCCCCACTATAAGTCTTATTCCTCTATCCTCCTAGTTTGCCAAGGCCTCCTCTCAGTCCAGTCATCTTTACCTATTGGTCAGCATGAATCTCCCTGTTACACTGACCCCTCCCTCCACTGGGACTCCTTTGACTAGCAGGAAGCCCCACCACACAACTCTATACCCTGGAGCTCTTACATGCCCTGAGGGCTGGGTTCTCCCTCATGCCCATCTCTCACCTTTTGGGCTCTCCCCTCTGTGAGAGGCAGGGGCAGAGCAAAAATGGCATCTCGGGCACCCACGTAAAGCGTGTTGGAAACAGGATCCACAAGGAGGATAGAGTAATTTTGGGTTGGAGGGGCAGAGAACCGGGTGAGGAAAGGGTCCACCTCTAGGGAGGAAAGAGGAATTAGGAGGTAGAAGAAACATCTTCAGTCATCTGGCAAGGCCAGCCCCATTCTGCCTCACTGTTATGCCTACAATAGCCCAATGTCTGGCAGAGGTCTTAATTACCATTTATTATTACGATCACTATCACTATTAAGGTGTTTTTGTACCTTCACTCTTTACCTCCAGTCCTTCCTTTACACTGCCTAAATAATCTTCATTATGCATGGATCTGACAATGTCACGCCTCTTCTCAAAAATCCTCCATGGCTTTCTATCTCCTACCAAGTATAGCTCAAACTCCTCTGCCTAGAATTCAAGGACCTCACAATCTATTGTCACCTTACTACTTCAGCCTAATCCCATGGGACTCCTCTAGGTAAACTGGATTCTATCCCTGAAACACACTTTGCACTTCCTCTCTCACACTGTTCCTCATGACTGGAATTTTCCCCCTCTTCACCTGTTGAAATAATACTTTTGAAGCATTTAGCCCAGTGCCTGGCGTATAGTAGGCACTTCATAAAAGTTTGCTCCCTTCCCCTTCAAATTCCTACCTAGTCTTTTTTTTTTTTTTTGGGTGAGGCCATTGGGGTTAAGTGACTTGCCCAGAGTCATGCAGCTAATAAGTGTTATGTGTCTGAGGTTGCATTTGAACGCAGGTCCTCCTGACTCCAAGGCTGGAGGGCTATCCACTGTGCCACCTAGCTGACCCTCTACCTAGTCTTTGAAGCCCAACTCAAACACTATCTCTGTCACAAAGCATTCCCTGTTGACAATGGCTTTTCCCTTCAGAACTCATATAGCATTTTGATTTTGCTTCTCTGATATACTTGTCATGTAATGCTATATACTGTATATCTCTAATCATCCTATTACATTGTAAACTCCACAAGATGGGGGCATATACTAATCACAATAGCCTGGAAACAGTAGGCACTAAACGAATATTGAATTAACACATTTTTTAAATGAATATTAACTGCTTGTGGAGTCTTTAGGTACACTTGATGCTATCCCCAGGTGCAGATAGCAGAGCAGCAAACCATTCAGCACACAATTCAGCCAATTGCTTTTTTCTATATAACTATAGCTCTTTATTAAAAATAAAAGCATAAATACCCATTCATCTCTAATTTCTCCTCCTAAACAGTATGGTACATTATATCATAGGAAGCAAGGTTTAAAGAAATGCACTAAGATGTATGTTAAATGCCTTCTCTCATTAAACCATCCAGCATTATTAATTGCTATTTAATCTATCTCCAAAGTAAAAAGGAGAGACTGAAGAGTTACTAGTCATTATCCCCTGAGCACAATCCTGTTCCTTGGGACTTCACATAGCACTCTGTTTTATAGCTCTCCAATATTCCAATCAGGTAACATTGGGTATTATACATATGTTAATTTCTTATCCCCCTAGACTACAAGTCCCAAGAGGGAAGGGACTGTATTTTACCTAAATTAGTATCTCCCCTAGTGCTGAGCACAAGTACTCTGCACACCATAGGAAATTAAATGTTTATTGAATGGATGTGACTGAAGAGAGCCCTTTAACTTTCTCCCACTGATTCTTGGGGATTGTTCCTTCCCCAACACTAGGAGCTTAGGCTTGGGTCGAACTTTGGCCCATTCCAGGCATTGCCACCTTAAGGCAATATCCAAAGCTCACTAATCTTCCCCTGTATCCTTGAATTATGCTTCTGCCTGTGGCTTCTTATTTCATCTATACCTCTAGGCACTGACCATATCTTGGCTTTGCTTTCTGGTTTAGCCTAAAACTGCAGTCTTATTCTCTGAATTCACTGTACCTGCATACGGTGCCTACACATAGTGATGCCATGATTATAGGCCCTTGTTTAAACACTCCATTCCATCAGCCTGGCATAGCTCCCAGTCCTGGCTCTATCTGCTCAGCTCTGTCCTACTGCCACCTTTGACCCAGTGCTTACACTAAAAATGGTAAAGAAAGACTGCACCTACATTCTGTGTGCACACATCCATAATTCTGCAATTGTCTCCCCCTTCCCCCACTCTCAAACGAGAGGAAAGACTTCCTCTAGATACTAGCTTGCCTCACTCTAACACCCCTTTCCCCATTAATCTTTGGAACTGGAAAACTTATTTTGTTTAAGATTATGTAAGAGGGTTCATTAATAAGCCTAGCACCTCCCAATTCTTTCCAACATCTGAAAAGAGGTCTTGCTTTTTTCTCTAAACACTTTAAAATACTGCTGCATAATGGGTGGGATTAGGGAATGGGAGGTTTGCAGGGCAGGAATGGGCTTTAGAGAGGGGTTCTGGAGACTTGGAGGAAATAAAGAAATAGGAGAGAGTTCAGCATGCCGAGGGACAAGAGTGCTATGGGAATAATGCAGGGAAAGGAAAAGCAGAGATACAGAAATGAGTGGGAAGGGGAGGATTCTGGGCTCAAGAGGCAGGGGTAGGATCTCACACACAGGGAATGGAGATATGGGGGGGCACAGCTATGATGGGTATGTGGTTGAGGGAACACACGGATGGAAGATTTCTAGATTCAAGAGAGGTGGGCGTTGGGGGAGGGAGCTCTGAGCAGCACAGGGATGTGGGAGACACAGGGATGGGGAACTCTGGGCAGCATAGGGATGGGGGGTGGGGCACAGGCAATTCCCTGCTCAAGAAAAAAAGGCTTTCGAGAATAGAGATGGGGAAGCTCCCGGTTTAGGGAGGGAAAGGTTGGGAACATAGGGACGGGGGAGTTCCCTGATCAAGAGAAAATGGTTGAAAACATAGAAACCTGGGAGTTCCCTGCTCATGTGGAAAAAAAAAAATATGTTTCGAGAACATAGGGACGGGGGAGTTCCCAACTCAATAGAAAAGGATTGTGAGAGTAGGGACGAAGGCACTCCGGCTCAGGAAAAAAAAAATGGTTGAGAACATATGCGCGCGGGAGTTCCCTGTTTAGGAGAAAAGGCTTGCGATCACAGAGGGGAGCAAAAGATTGAGATCGAGCGGAGTTCCCCGATCCGTTGCAAAGGGAGACAGAGGCAGGACAGGCTCAGGAGAAATAGGGAGGCGCAGGATTGAGGGGCATCGGGGAATTGAGGGAGATCGCTAACCGCGGAGGCGCTGGGCTGGACTGCGAGGAAAGGGCGGCGGCGCAGCACCTGCTCTTACCCGATGCTGTCAGCGAGGTCCTGGGCACCGAGTGCAGCACGCGTTCAAGCCGGGGTCCGCTCCAGGCTCCAGCCGAGGCGCAGCTCACCAACAGGACCAGCACCTGGACCCGCAGCGCAGGGCAGGGCGCGGCCCAGACAGAGGTGCGAGCAGGGGCAGAAGCAGGAGGAGGAGACTGCTCGCGGCCCTGGCGGGGCCGGGCGGGGGACACCCGCATCCTGATCGCCAGCCCGCCGGAGGTGGGTCCTCCCGAGGCGGCTGCAGCGGACCCCGTAGCGCCGCCTCCCGGCCTGAACCTCGGGCTCCGCCCTGAGCCAGGTCCGACTGGGCCCAGTTCGGCAGTCCCCAGCTCTGCCCGCGCCCCTGACCGTGGCCGTGGTCGCCAGATAGAGTTCGGCCCGCAGGCGGCGCTTGGGGCAGATACCCTGTCAGAGCCGAAGCTGGATCCTGAACCCCAGCCCTGGCCCCGCCCCCACAGGTGGCGCAGTGGACACGCCCCTGGAATATGGCCAATAGCGAGCCGCCTTCCCTGAGCCAGCCAATTGAGGCCTGGCGGAGGAAGGCGGGGCACCATGTGGGCGGGGACTGAGGCCAGGTAGAAGCTGGGAACAGCCCAAGTGGAGGCCGGGATGGACTAGCTCCGGGAGTGTTCCGGGAAGGAGCCCGGGCTACCCACCGGTCTAGGCAAGAGAGCTAGACTCTGCGGAGATAACGGAGACCGGCCTGGGCTTTCACAAAGACAATCCCTGGGCTTTTCAAGACAATCTACTGGAATTCTGACTGCAGGGCTGGACCCAGGCTAGGAGAGAGGAGGGGAGGGGACCAGTTTCCACTCTGATCGCTGGCAAGGGGCGCGGCGGGAGAGAGGGAGGGAGCCAGAGAGGAGGGTTCCTGAAGTCAGGCTTGTGGAGTCTCATGGTCTTCATGGTATAGCATTAGAGGAAGATGGGAGTAAAATAAGCTATAGAGATACAGACATGGCTATAGATATGCAATGTGTGTGTGTGTGCATATGCGTTTCCCTTTGTGGATCATCGGCTCCTGGAGGGCAGGGGCTATTTCATTTGTGTCTTTTTATCCTCAGCTCATAGGCTGTGTCCCGCATATACAAGTGCTTAATTGTTGATTGACTGATTGCAATATACTTCTGTGCTCTAAGCAGCTTTCTAAAACTTTAAGTTGTAGAGAAGGTGATAGAGGGAGTTTCTTGATTCTGGAGTTCCCTATACTTATGAAATTATAGGTCCCTTTCCTATCCTCATCCTATACTTTTTAAACCAAGACATGTGTTTCTTAATTTTGTTCTTTATTTTCACTCTGAGAGGAAGCTTGGGAGCAGAAGTGGGGTTCAGAAGTCAGGAATACCAACCCCAGACCATCTTTCCTCCATCAAGAACCAAGGGAAACAGGTACTACTAGAACTCCTTAATACTAGTGCCTTCCCACTGTTATCTCCAATTTATTCTGTATATATTCTGTTTGTACATAGTTGTTTACATGTTGTCTCCTCCATTAGAAAGTAGAGTTTCATTTTGGTTTGGTTGCCTTTCTTTGTATCTCCATTGTTTAGTATAGCATATGGCACTTTGCAGGTGCTTAATAAATACTTGTTGACTGCCTGACAAAGGGAGCACAGCATGGCAGAAATTAAAAACTAGAAGGAACTTCAGAGGACTTTTAGTCTACCAACACCTAAATAGCAATCTCCCCTACAATAACACCAACAAGCCTCTAGTTGTAGATCTCCACTGAGGAAGACACCATGATCTCCTAAGGCAGTCCGTTCCATTTTTGAACAACCCTTAATCTAGCTCTCTGCAACATCTACTCTTGGCTCCTACTCTGGCCCTCTGGGGCCAAGCCAAACAAATATAATCTCTCTTCCACATTCCAGTCCTTCCTGTATTTGAAGATAACTATCACATCTCCTCCAAGTCTTCTCTTCTCCAGGCCAAATATTTCCACTTATTTCAAACCCTATACATAAGTCCAGCCAGTCTGTAATATTTCACAGTTCGCATCTATAAAATTAAATTAAATTTAAAAAAAGAATATAGGACTCATACACTTACCTGGTGGGACAAAGAAGGAAAATTCAGCTGAGCTCAGCAGGGTTAGAGGCCCAGAGACAAGACAGGCTACTGGGGGACACAGTATTTGGACTCTGTCATAGTGGTGGTAAGGGGTAGAAAGCAAGAAAGTGGATGGTGAATACATGGAAAGCGAGGGCAGAGCTCCACGAGTACTTAATTTGCCCAGAGGGAGTCCTGGAGCTAGTATAGAGGCTTTAAGAGAAGGGGGACTCAGAGGGGGCAAGAATTAAAGAGCCAGACTGGTAAAAGACCAAGTCTGTAGTGGAGCACTGCAAGGATTTGTCTCTGACTCTTCTGTTCAACATTTTAATCAACAATCAGGAAGAGCACAAAATCCTATTTTTAAAAATCAGATTTGCTGATGATAAAAAGCTGGAATGTCAAATGCAGAATCCAGAAAATCTTGACAGGTGAAAATACTGTGAAAAATTTCATAAGAAGGAAGTTTGTTTGGTTTGTTTCTTTTTGGACCAGTCCTGTGATCATCAGAGGAAACTCCCAGTGGGGAACCTCCCTCCACCAATGCAGATTGACAAATACTTTGAAACTTACAGCTTTAAACAGTTGCCTAAGAAACTCCCCATAAGTAATAAGATGAAAGATAATAGGCAGTAAATATACTGTTGGTGGAGCTGTGAATTGGTCCAGCCATTCTGGAAAGCAAATTGGAATTATGCAAAGAAAGTGACTAATATGTCCATATCCTTTGCCCCAGATATCCCACTACTAGGAATATACTGCAAGGAGGTCACTGAGAAAGAGAGAGATGATAGATAGATAGATAGATAGATGATAGACAGACAGAGCAAATGAACATTGATTAAGCATTTACTGTGTGTCAGGTCCTATGCTAGGGATACGAATACAAGCATGCAACACAGTCCTTACTCTGTTACTCTCAAGAGGCTTACATTCTAATGGGGGAGGAGGAGACAGAGCATAAAGGGAGCTACAGTGAGGGTAAAGGAGAAAAGGAAGAAGGTTTCCCAAGCAAGGACAAGGTGGCTGGTAAGGAAGAGGAGTAGAAGAATTCCAAAGAACAGAATTGTGAATGAAGTGGATCATAGTTTGGGTTCCTTCTGAAATAGTGGTCCAAGCAGGCAACCACAGTTCAATTGAGCAGGTCTCAGGTGGAGATTGTTCCAGAGTGGCAAGATGAGGAGGAGGAAGATGTTGAAAAGAAACCTGGAGAGTCCAGTCTAATAAAAGAAAGATTCCATGTATACCAACATAACAATTGCAGCATGTTTTGTAGTAGCAAAGAACTGGGAACAAAGTAGATGACCATGGCTAAACAAGTTGCGCTCCTGAATGTTATGGAAGATTACAGAGGAGTAAGAAATGAGAAATATGAGGAATAAAGAGAAGCATAGGAAATTTATGTGAACTGATGCAAAGTAAAGCAAACAGAACCAAAGAAACAATGACTACAATTATATAAATGGAAATAACAATAAAACAACAGTAATGTTGTGAAATTATAGTGATCAAGCTTGGCCCCAAAGAAAAGGTAAGAGAAAATCTCCCCTAGTGCCCCCCCACTTCTTTGCAGAGGTGAGGGTCTGTGGTTATGCAACACTGCATGCAATGTCAGACTTTTTCAATGTGTTGATTAGTTTTGCTGAACTATTTTTTTTCTCTTTTTTATTCTTTCTTATAAGGGGGTGGCACTCTGGGTTGGTAATAGAAGGGAGATGCCAGTGATATAAAAATAAAAGCTATCAATAACATTTTTTAAAAAAAAATATATCTGGATGGTTTTATCATTTGCAAGTTGGGACTGAGTCAGCAATGTGACATGACAGCCAAAAAAGTTAATAAGGTTTTAGGTTGCATTAATAGAAGCATACTGTCCAGAACAAGGGAGGTGATTGTCCCATTGTCATCTGACCTGGTTAGACACCATCTGGAATATTGTATTCAGTTCAGAGTACTATGTTTTAGGCAGGATCCTGACAAACTGGAGTGCATCCAGAGGGTGGCAACCAGCATGGTGAGAAGGCTGGAGATAGAGCCAGGCAAGGTTTGGTTGAAGGAACTGGGGATGTATAGCCTAGAAAGGAGAAAACAGAAGAAACATAATAGCTTTCTTCAAGTATTTGAAGGGCTGCCTTGAGAAAGAGAAATTACACTTTCTCTGCTTGGCCTTTGAAGGCAGAATGAGAAGCAGTAGAGGGGATTTGTAGAAAAGGGAGAAAGAAAACTTTTCAAAGAATTAAGTAGGGATAGAGAAGAGGACCCATGATCTCACTGATATAGGGAACTTCCAAACTAGAAAATTCGTTCTACTGATGAGAATGAGCACCTCTACAACCTATAGTCTTAGAGATGAGTTGCCCAGAGCAAGGAGAGGTAAAGTGCCCAGAGTCAAGGATGTGTCAGAGCTAGATTGCTGTTTTATTCACTTACCAAGAGGTGTTCTTACCTAATAAAGGTATCACAACTAGAGTTAGTTTCTTTCTGTGTGGTAAGGGATGAGAAGTGTAATACAATGCACAGTATGTTAAAACTAAAGTCAGGAAGTCCTGGGTTTGAAGTCCATCTCTCATATTTACTATCTATACACATATATATGTATATATGTACCTACATACATCATAGCTGTATGACCCCAAATAAGTCCTTTAACCTCTCTGAGCCTTGGTTTCCTCATCTGTGTTTGGCACCTGATCTGGGCTGTATCCTCCGAGTGCAGCTAATACTTCTCCTCTGAGGATTCTAGGGAGCCCTGAGGAACTGAAAGGAAGGATATTATTCTAATACTATAGCTCATCTTCCCCCACCCCACACTGAGGTGCTTCACTCATTGATTTTTCAGTGGATATCAATTAATCAGTCAGACTTATTAGCTTTTAGTAAAGGGAATTTACTACAGTGATAGAATAAGAATGGTTGGTATAAAACATCCCTCCAAAAGTCTGTGATTCACTTTCTCATAAGTACATATAGAGTCCAGGAGAAAGTGGGCCCCGGCTTAGAACACAAGTAGCAAGAGGTGTAACTAGAGTTCCTCTTGTCTGCTTCGTTGTGTCCTCACGTGGTTCCCCATAGATACAGTGGTGTTGTTGCTTTTCTGGATTCCTCATAGAGTCTTGAAGCTGTGTTTCCTAGTTTGCCCTCATTTCCCAATGCAAATATTTCCACCAACTGAGACTTTCCCAGGGATGATGTTAGAATACCATCACGAAGTCTAAATCCTCTGAACCTCTGAAATCTCATGGAGGGGGGAAAGAGACAGAGGCCTTTCTCCACCTTCACCCCCCAAAGTAATTCCCTCTCAGTGGCTTGGCTGAAATTGTTCTCTTCCTTTAAGCAGCCAAATGCTCAAATGTCTGGTTTCAAAGCTAACTTGCTTTTTCACATACTTACCCACTGGACTTCACTGGGCTCACATTAGTCTAATGTCTTTGATTGACAGATCAACTTATTGAATAGAGGCGTTTTCATTTGATAAATATATCAAAGCTAGAGTTAGTTACTTTAAGTAGGCTAGTTAATCAACTCAATTGACCTACCTACAGGTAAAATGGGAGTAATAATAACTTGTAGTTTAAAGGTCTGGGGTGAGGATCAATGAAGCAACATGCATTTATTAAGTGCCCTCTATTTGCCAGACACTATGTGTAAAGTGTTCTATAAGCATTTAAGTGCTACATAAATGTAAGCAAATTCTGCCATAGAAGGGATTCCTGCTCACTTTGGGTTGGACTGATGACCTCCAATGTCCATGAAGAGATTGGCATTTAAAGCCTTTCATAATTAGTCTGCAGGCTATTTTCTGGGCTAATTACCTATTAACCCAGCTTGGGTAGAGTGCCAGGCCTTAAGTCAAGATTTATCTTCCTGAGTTCAAATCCAGCCTCAGACACTTGATAGCTATGTGACCCTGGGCAAGTCACTTTACCCAGTTTGCCTCAGTTCCTCATCTGTACATTGAGCTGGAGAAGAAAATGGCAAAACACTCCAGTGACTTTGCCAAGAAAATTCCAAATAGGGTCATGAAGAGTCAGACACGACTGAACAACAAAATTACTCATTATTTTCCCAAAGCACTCCAGGTTACGGCTACATACTGGCCTACTTGCTGTTCCCTGTAAAGGGCATCCCACCTTCTGCCTCTATGCCCTTGAATAGGCTATCTTCGGTGCCTAAAATGACATCCTTCATCATCTCAAACACTTGGAAGTCCTAGTTCACTTCCCAGCTGAGTTCAAGCACCACCTCCTTTCATCCAGTTGCTAATACCCTTCCCCACCCCCATTACTCTGTATTTATTTTGCACCCATCCTGTGTTTACTTCCCTATGAACATATTACAATACTGTATAAAACATTTGTAATGTTACATTAATATGTTAAATTATAAAATAACATTTATAGAATGTAAGCTCCTTGAAGGCAAGGCACTGACTCACTTTCCTATTTATATCCCTAGCAGAAAGCCCGGCCCACATAGCGAATGCTTAATAAAGGCTAGTTGATTGACAGATTGATGCAAAGAAGGGCACGACGAGTTAAAGACTAGAGCCCTCCTGGGTGCGGGGGTTTGATGGAATGTTCCACTTTCCCAAGGTGGGGGAGGAACTGCCCAGGAAGCGGCTCTTGTTTAACGCAAGATCCCCAACAGAGCCTTGTGGTGGTCAAGCAGGGACAGTGAACAGAATCATCTGGGCTTCACCGACCAGAAGAAGCCCCGAAGAGAAGCTGCTCATTCTCAGCCTGAGAATGAGTCTCCCCTGTCCCCACTCCCCGGGGGTTTGTTGGAGCCGCCCTAGCGCCCCCTGGAGGCGGGACGGAGGCTGTCACGTGGCCTGCCTCGCTCTGGCCAGCGGCTCCCTCAGCTGGGCGGGTGCGGGTCCTACCTCAGGTAAGGAGGAGGAGGCTGGGGAGGGGGGAGGGCAAAGAGAGTGGGACAATCCTTCCCCTTCAAGTCCATCCCACTCACCTTTCCACTCCGCCCAGGGGCCGGATATGGAGCCTTAGGCCTCTAGTTAGAATCCCACTTATTGAGGGTGGGGGTGGGGAGGCTGGAGTTTCGGGTCCGAGTTCCTCAAGGCCTCAGTTTCTTCCTCTGTCAAATGAGGGCATTGGATTCGATGACCACTAAGGCCCATTCCAGCCCTGATTCTAACATCCTATGACCCTGCTGCCTTCCAATGCACCTTCTAACGCTCTCACTGCTGTAATTTTTAAAAGATATATTTATTTTCATTTTTAATTTAACAAGCATCAGATAAAAATGGCTCTTCTGTATCCCTGGTAGAACAGGAGAAAAAAGAAGAAAAAGAGGATTGTGCTTGACATTGCAGAGCTGCGCCTTGTGCGGCTGTCTTTTCTTTTCTAAGGATGCAGCAAGGTCGGCTTGTCACTTTCAAAGCTGTCCTGCTTGTCTGTGCTCCTTCCCGGCCGGCCTTCTGTTCACTTCTCAGCGTTTGTAAAAGACTAGCCAGGAGGTGCAGTGGATGCCTCAGCTGGAGACAGGGCTTCGGAGCTGGGCTACTCACTAACCTCTCTCTGTCTCACTTTCTTCATCTGTAAGGTGAGGATGGTCGTGACCACTTGACTGAGCTGTCGTGACACTCATTGCTCTATAAATACTAGCTATTGTTGTTGTTTTCAAAAGATGGCTCAATGACTTTTTTTTTTTTTTTGCTGCTCAATTCCTATCCTCCCTCACCCTTTGTGTAACTACTTCTTAAGTTTTATCAGTGATTTTTGTTTCTGCCAAACAGTCATTTCCTGATATACCACAAGCAAAGAGAAAAACAGCTTCTTACCTGTCATTTTCTACCCCTAGTTATCTGCCCTGGATCTTTACCCTCCCTTACCTCTCTCCCTCTTTACCTCTCTCTCCCTTTCTCTCCCTCTTTCCCTCTCTTCTGTCTGTCTTTCTCCCCTCTTCTCCCTTCCCTGTCTCTGTCTCCCTCCTTCCTTTCCTTACACTCAATTCTTTCTCTCTCTCTCTGTATGTTTGTCTGTCTCTTCTCTCCCTCTCCCTCCCTCCCTCCTCCCCTCCCTCCATCTTTCCTTCTCCTCCTCTCCCCCCTTTCCCTCTCCCTCCCCCTCTCTCCCCTTCCCTGTCTCTGTCTCCCTTCTTCCCTCACTTGTTCTCTTTCCCTCATTCTTTTAATGATTTCATTGGCTCCTATGGATTGTGATCCTCCTTATCCAGATGACTCCCAAATCTCCCATTCTGACCTCTCCCTTAACCTTCAGTCCCTCATTTCAGAGTTGGAAGGACCCTTAAATATTATTTAATCCTATTCCTTCATTTATGCCTTGACTGTCTCATCAATTCCCAGGGGATTCTGTTTTCAAAGATAGTTGATTCTTAAATCTATATTTCTCCCAGCATTCTTTCACTGAACTTGAGTTCCTTATTTCTGGCACCTCAGACTCAGCATGTGAAAAACTAATGGAATTGGAGGGGACCTGAAAGTTCATCTGTTTCAGCCCTCTTCTCAAAGGATGAAACTAATTGATGGGCGCACATTTTGTTTCCTGGTTTTTTTTTTCCTACTGCAAAAAAAGCGATACACACATATACACGTATCTACATATACACATATGTATACATATCCATACATATAACCTTTTTGTCTTAGACCTCCTCAGGCCATATGCCTAGGAACTGGATTTTTGTGTCAAAAGATGTGATTAAACAGTTTAGTCACTTTTTTGCATAATTTCAATTTTTATCCTAGAATGATTGAACCAATTAATAGCCCTGACAACAGTATATTAGTGTGCCTATCTTCCTGCAGCCCTTCCAACATTATTTCTGTCTTTTTGTCATCTTTGCCAATTTTCTGAGAGTGAGGTGAAACCTTAGAGTTATTTTGAATTGCATTTCTCTTATCTTATTATTTAGGGAATTATTTTATATGGTTATTAATAATTTGCACCCCTTATGAGAATTGTTCAGAGCCTTCAACTTCTTATCTTTTAGAGAATGCCTCTTTATTTGTGTTAATTCTTTACATATAATTCTATTATCAGAGTTATTTGATGCAAAGATTTCCCCCTCCTCCCAGGTAAACAAAATCATTTTAGCTGAGAAACAAAGCAGGAATCATGGTCCAGTAGAGCCGGGGAGATGTACATGATAAGGATTTAGGCCAGGTCCTGGGTCACCAACCGGGCAGGTAGCCAGAATTTCTTAACTTCGGATGGATCAAAGGTCAGAGTGAAGTAATGAGTCAGAAATCATCAGACAGATGAGAAGCCCAGGTTCACAGGAAGGGTGAGCTAGACCTCAAGCAGGTTATTTCACTTTGTTTCTGTTTGCTTAGCTCTAAAATGAGGAAGTGGGACTAGATAATCTCTAAGGTTTCTTCCACCTTTAGTCTGGGGCTAATGTTCTAGACAGGGCATCAAGAAAGGAAAAATTGATACCCCAAGGAGAACAGATGCAGACCCCAGGAACAAGAAGAGCTCGTTCAATCTGTGGTAAACCTGTTTCAGCCCAGGAATCCTCTAAATCTGTTTTCTGCTGGCGCAGGAGGCTTAGGACTTGGTTAAAGGCTTGCAAGTGAAAGCAAGTAAACACATACGGGCAGCTCGTGTGGATAACATAAGAGCAGAAGTGGGGCATGTTTTGCATCATCTCATGGATCATGCTTGAAGAAACAACAAGAAAGTTGTTTTTTATCTCTATTTAATGTGACCTTAAAAATAAGCATTACACCAAAGCTCAGAGAGATCTACCAATGTCAAAGAAGGTGGGGGAGGAGGGGAATGTCCCTTGGGCCCATAGTTTTGTTATCCACTGTATGTCTGTCTGTGCCACAGCCCTGGCCCCAGCATTCCACAGGTCGCCGTGTGGGAGCTGACCCCACACAGTTACTGAGAGTGCACGTGAGGGATAAGGCATTAATGGCATGTGTTTTCCTGGTAAATACATTGGATTCATTGTTAGGAGTTTATTATTCACAATTAACTCTTAGTGTTGCTGGCTTATCACTGTCATTTGCCTTTTGTTTTAAACTGTAGTGTTGTTAGTGTTTGCTATGGGGAGTGTCTCATTTGAAATGCTCCACTGTGTTCTAAACTGAATACCTCTCCCTTGCTGTTTACTTATTGGGAATAGCAACTGAAGTGCTGGTCATTTGTCCACTCTATTTTCTAAACACTGGACTACTTGGAGGGAAATCTCTGCCAGATGGACAGAGGTCCTTTGCCAATTTTTACCCTAACAGCTGGGGAACAGTGGTGCATTTGAAGAGCCTGAAAGTTGTATTTGTAGGCATGAACCTAACAACGACCAGTGAAGTATGTAAGCTTAATGCGAGGCACTAGTGAGGAACTGTGATCCAGTAGTAAGAGTTAGGAGACCTGAGTGTAAGTCATACGTACCTCTGCCACTCCCTAGCTGTTTGGCCGTGAGCTGGTCACTTAGGGAAACCGAGGCTCTGTTTTCCTCTGTAAAAAAGGGAAGATGATAATATTTGCAATATCTGTGTCACAGAAATAAGATAGTGTATGTAAGGTATTGTAAACTTTAAAGAGCTTTGTAAGTGTAAGCTATTAGCATGTCTATTCCACAGCATTTATTGAGAACTTGTGAGTGTGACCCTGTTCTTGGTACTGTATTGGCAATGCCCCTATTAACAAAGAGGGCACATTTTGCCAGTAAGTACAATTTGTTATCACACACTGACATAATGTAAGAGGCACAGAAATGCCTTCCGTGGAATGTGAATCACCCCTTAGCATACCCCAGTATATCTTTGTCCCCTCTCTCAAGACAGTCTCCTACCTAATGACACAGAGGCTGCATATGGCCACGGCTCAGGCAGCATCTCTCCCGTTCATAGCTATTACTAAACCCTCTGGGTCCAGGGAGGACTGCCTTTGCATCAGTCAGGCCTGAGCTTTGGCATATCCTGGAGAGGCCTGAACCTGAAATGGTGACCTGGAGCCAAGGGAACCACAGCTCACCCCTGTACCCTTAACGCCCAGACAAATTTTGTGAAAAATTAGTGTTAATCGTGGAGAATTAATTAATCAGGGCATCATTATATGAGAATTATTTCATCTGATATAAAATTTAATCTCTGCCCTGTCATTCAGAATCTTTAAAAGATAGTCTTAACAAAATATACAAACCCAGGACAGGAATACCACTACTAGCAAACACCTTTCTTATGGGATGATGTAAAAGACAGATTTGTCAACTATCAAGCACAAGGAGACAGATTTTAAGTAGTAGTTTAGGAAATAGAAGATTAAGATTAGACTGTTCAGGAACATTTAATATCAGTGATCTTAAATTTAGATTTAAGATCAGGGATAAGAAAGGGATGAAATTGACCTTGGGCAAGTCAATTAACCCCAGCTGCCTAAAAAAAAGAAAGGGATGAATTGTTCTTTTGGAAAGGATGAGAACATTTTAATACAGTGCCTAGTCCTACATAGGTAAACATTTAATAAATAATACACATTTAAAATATATCAGAAGCAAGTAATATAGCATCTGTATAAGAAAGGTGTTTTGTTACAAGGTAGCTAATTCATAAAGTTAGAAATACCTATGTAGATTTATGGAGCTGTGTGTGAAGTGAAAAGACAATCTGTCTCTGCCTGCAGCCTAGGAAAACATCGAGGTTTTGTTTTTTTTTTTACTGCTGTCTCATATTGAGCTTGCACTAAAACCCCCACATCTTTTTCACAGAAATTGTTGTCTAGCCACAACTTCCCCATTTGATTGAACCTGTGTGGAACTTTACATTGATCCATTATATTTCATCTTATTTAATACAAACCACTGTTCTAGCTTGTCAACAACTGTTGAGTCTTAGCTACAAATTTTCTTAATCCTTTGAAATTTGTTCTCTGAAAATCTTATTGTCCTGGCTTTTATCTATCATAAACTCCATTATTGAATGGTCACTATCCTTCAAGATACCTATGATTTCTACTTCAACTACTAGTTTCTCCTTGTTGATCAGAATTAGGTCTAGACTACCAGTTCCCTTTGTTGCTTCTTCCACCTTTTGAAAGAAGTAGGTCACCAGTTTGTCAGCTGCTCTGCTTTTGATAGAGAGAGACCCCCTGAAGAATTCTAGGTGCTTCGGGTCCTCCATCATTATAATATTATGCTTTCGTGCTGAGTTTGTGATAAGTTTCTTGGTTTCTTCATCTGATTCCTCTTTCTGTCCAAGCAGTCTGTAGAAAAGTCCTCCATTGATTATCACCCACATCTTCTTCACGATGTTCCCCCTCCCTCCTCAGGTTCCTGAATTCCCTTACATGAGTATATCTCCATAATCTACAGTGCTATTCTGCCTATGTTCAGTCCTTTTTGAATAAGTTACGCCCTTTCAGATCATATTTCAGTCATGAGTCATAATCCATTGTCAGTAAAACCCACAATGTCAAACTTGTCTCCTTACGGTAGGATCTTTGTTGGTAGAATAATTCTTCCAATTATTACTTATACTTTGTGCATTTCTATATAGACATATGAAGCCGTGGATTTTATTGTTGGCTCATTTCTTGGATGTTATCTTTAATGAATTACTAAGCCTTTCTTCTACTATTCTGTTTCTTAGGTTGTACCTACAACTCTGTTTAGCACCTGGTTTGGCAGATCTATGTGGACAATTTTCTCCCTCCCTTTCTGTTTTCAGTTTCAAGCACTCTTGGTTATATTTGTAAGCTCCAGGAAAAATATAGTCTTACCAGCCCTTGTTAGGTACACTCCATTCCTGGCCAAGTGCCTGTCATTCCTGTATTTTTAGCTGCGGACCAGAGATCTAAATCCCATTCTCAGACAATATTATGATAGCTAACTCTTCAGTTCCTCGGTCTGCCTTTCTCTTGTGAACACCCTGCCTTAAGTCATTAGTAATGAAGAAAATACTACCAGTCCTGTAAAAATCCTCATTTTTTTGCCCAGGACTTCACAACCTTTCCGGTGTTATCCTTTGTCCCCACGTGAATCGCCAGAAGTGGATAGTTGGTCATCAGGCTTGGCAAGTCTCAGAAGTTAGCTGTCACTTCCCAGATCAGTTCCCCAAGAAGACAGCAGAACTTGAGGCTGTTTGTGCCAGACTGACGTGGGGCTACGTCATGGCCCCTCAGCAGGCAGTCGTCAGTGATCTCTAGTCACCTCTCCTTCCTCCGACCCTTACTGGATGACTGCTGACATCATCGTTCCTCGATGCCCAAGAAACACCGCGTGCCTCTTACTTTTCATTCCAGATGTTCCGTGGCCCTTCTCCCCTTCCTTCTTTTGCACATTCTCTTGTCCTTCAGCCTCCAAGGGTAGAATTCCGCTCTGCTTTGTTTTGTTCTTCAAGGAGCACTTCCTTGATAACCAAAGGGTGGAGTTCTGTTCCTCTTGCCCTTTCACTTTCTCCTCTGTGACGTAGACCAACTTGAATTTTGTGCAATACTTGGTGGTCAAGGAAAAGTAAACATGGCAAATATCACACGTCGTTGCAAAATGTTCCGTGTCCTCCTTACTTACTTGAGCAATCCTTTGTCCCGTTTTGGGTAATTCTCTTGGCTGATCCTTGTGGCTAATTGACGTCCTTGATAGTGTCTTTTATGCTGTTTCTTTCATACAAGTCTTTTGCCATGACCTACTAATGAGAATTTCCCTTGTCCTTTGGAACATTTGAAATTGTGAGCCTTCTGAGATTTTGCATGATAAGGGTGGATGGAAGAAAACAAGCACTTATTAAGTACCTGCTGTATGCCAGGCACTATGTTAAGTGCTTTACAAAGATCTCATTTGATCCTCAAAACAACCCTGGGAGGTAATTGCTATATTATTCCCATTTTATAGTAGAGGAAACTGATGCAGACAGGTTAAGTTACTTGCCAGAGTCCCACAGTGAATAACTATCTGAAGCTAAACTTGAACTCAGGTCTTCCTGACTCCAGGCCCAGTGCTCTCCATCCACTGTGCCACCTTGATGCTTTTTTAAAGGACCAAATGAAGAGCATTAACAGCTTAGCTAAACTGCACAGTCTGGAATTGAAAAATCCTTCATCATCTGTCAACTCCCTTCTCTCCAGATTTTACATCAGGAGAACAAACAGCTCCCTTCTTGATGGCTAGATCCTGTTCCCTAGTACGATGTAAGAGCTGCTGGGTTTTTGGAAATGGAACAGGCTACAGGGAAGAGTATGCCTAGAAATATAGACCAGGAATTAGTAGAGAAGGCAGCTTTCACAAAGTGTGAGAACATATATCCTGAAACACAGTGCTGAGAAGACCGGAAACATTTTTGAATTTTTTATTTGTTTATGATGCAGAATACTTATGTGGAATGCCTGTGTATGAAAGAGAGTATAATAAAAATAGCTCAGTTTCATAGAGCTCTTTTAAGGTTTACAAAGCAATCTCCACGGAACAACCTTTGCGTGAGGAATAGGTAGTACTATTCCCATTTTACAGATGAATCTAGGGCACTGAAAGGTTGGGACCTGCCCCAAGTCACATAGTATCAGAGCTGAGAATCAAATCCAGGTCTTCTGATTCAGTGTCCAGTGCTCTTTCTGCCACACAGTCCGTCCTAATTTATGTGCCAGCTCTGACTGTTGCCTGCCAAACTGGCCTTTTCCACTGTCCTTGATTACATTGCTTTATAAAAATCCTGAGCTTGCTCACATTTGTTGTCCTTAGAATGATTATGCCCACACTGTTGGTGAGTGCCCCATTTCAGATCACAAGAGAGTGTCTGGTGAGGTTTCCTTTTGTCCATTTTCCACCTGCATTGAGTCCTGAAAGAGAAATTGTGTTGGAGTAAGCATAGATTCAGGCCTGGCAGTCTACAAGTACATTGGTGGTGATCTTGTCTTTCTATTTAATGTCTATCAGGAAATTGCTGGAGCTAGCTCTAACTAACCAAGCTGATTATTCAGCATGAGCATTTACACCTTAGAAATCAGCATCTGCTACAAATCAGGGCTTGATTTATTGTTTTGTTAATTGTCTAGACTTAAGAAAGTATTAATAATGCAGATTAAGCTTAAAAACATGTGTTCACACATTTTTCCAGCCAGGGAGTCCAGTTGTTAAACATTTCACAGCTCATCCCTGTATTGTTGCATAAATATAGCTTGAGCTCCCCCAGAGTGCAGTAGAAGGCTCGGAATGAAGTCATCACTGGACAGGTGGCCCGGGGACTATAGACCAATCATAACAACGACAGTAAATGGCATGTATGTAGTAATGTATATAGTACTTTAAGGTTTGCAAAGTACTTTACGTTCATTATCTCATGTGAACTTCATAGACCTATGGCTGAGAGCTGGTGATAGTTGAGTTCAGTTCTGTTGCGTATGATGCTGATAAGGTCATGACTACAGGATCAGTCCCTATTTATGAGCTTTCATAAGTTTCACTCTGCTCCATAGCCACAAACTGAATAACTCACTAGCACCTTGCTGGTATTTTGCAAACGTGTGATTACCCAGAGCATTCCTTCTTCCTCCAGTCATGCTTCTTTGTGGAAGTGAAGCAAGTTCAGCTCTGCTGCGAGTTAGGTAAGATGTTTCCTATGGGTCTCCAGATTACCCCACTCCTTCCTCTTAGTCCTCATATCAAATAAGGCACAATTCACCCCAGCTACTGACTCTCCTCCCATGCTTAAATATTCTCAATACCAATGCCATCCTAGCTATCTGCCTACTTTCTGGCACCCTTAAATAGCCACACAAAATTGAAAGCATTTATTCCCCACTTGTGCTGCTTTCTAGCTATGAAGGCGATATGACCCTGGGTAATTCCTGCATAAATGGTGGTAGCTCTTTTCCTCCTAACCCTATGATATTCTAATCTCCTGACATAAGAGGACTGCATGACGGAGTATACATCAGAGGGTCATAATCTGGTGTCCGTTAACTTTTTTAATTTTAATGATTATGTTTCAACATGATTGGTTTCCTTTGTAATCCTATGTATTTTATTTTATGCATTTCAAAATATCCTGAGAAGGGGGTTCATGGGCTTTTCCAGACTCCCAAAGGCAACCGTGATGTGAAAAGGGATAAGAACCAGTAGCTGGCAGAGTGTACATTCCTCCCAGCTATTGGAAACACAACACAAAGTACATTTCCTGCTGACAGTGAGGAAATGGAACATCTTTATCAATGATCATCAGTACATTACATCTTACTACATTGTGTACATGATGAGTCATAAGAAAGTGTTTAAGGAGCTAGCTGTCACAGATGTCTATAGCAGATCTGGGAGCAGTGGGCATCACCCCTAATCCTTCAGTTTGATATGCAGGTTGATGCTGCTTTTGCAACATCCTTTTAACCATAAGGTATCCACTGTGTGTGCAGGCCTTGGTGAGTTTTGGTGAATACAGGTAAGAATGATACCTAGGCCCTGTCCACATGGAGCTTACAGTCTGGTTTGGGAGATAGATTTGCATTTTTTGTATTTTACACATCAAAACTTTGATGGATCTTTGACTTAACCTCATCAGTGTGGGTTCTCCTCCAAAAATGCAGGTGGCAAATCATCCATGCCAGTTCATTCTCGGCAACTTCTGTTCATGTGCTCCCATGAATCTTTCACAAGGAACCTGCCTACCAGGCTGGAGGCCTTAAAAGGCATGGAAAAGCCTTCACCATGTGGCTCCACTCTACCCTTCTAGGCTTGTTGCATATTACTCACATTACATGCACCTTGTGTTCCCAAATGGACTCATTTGTTGTTCCCGTAGATGACATTCTGTCTCCCATCTCTATGCCTTTGCATGGCCTCTCTCCTATGCCTTCGTTGAAGTCCCTCCAAACTTCTGCCTTAAAATAGCTTTCTTCAGAGTCCAATTCAAGTGCCACCTTCTGCTGCACTTGAGGCTTATCCTGATCTCTGCCACACACATTGCTAGTGTCCTGCCCCTGGAAATTATTTTATATGCATTTTGTATTTAATTTTCTATATACATGTTGTTTTCTTGCAGTAGAATGTAAGCTTCTTGAGGACAAGAACTGTTTTCATTTTTGTCTTTGTATCTGCAGTGCCTAGCACATAATAGATGCTGTTTAATGAGTGAAGAAGATTAGAATTCCATAACTCACAGCCTCTCTCATCAACATAAGAGAAATATTGATGTTTAAAAAAAAAGATAGGCGTCTGTTTTAGAGAGAAGCTTGGCTTAATTAAAAGCACAGCACCATTTCCCAAAAGAAATACACCAAGGACTGTAGTCCAGTCCTGGGAGGAGAGTGTGTCTCTTTTCTAAGGACCAGTGTTGCTAAGTATGGAAAAGCTCATCATCAGCGGACTGTCCACTTAGTGATGAATTCTTTAGCCATGACAGCCTGTGAAAAGGTGACCTAGACACATGAAAAGTTAAATAAGCATAATGATGGAGAGAAGGAAGAGAAACCAAGGGCTGAAATTAGCGTGGAAGGTAAAAATAGAATTAGAAACCTGCATGCGGTATCCAGTTAATCAGGAGACCACAGCAACAAAGACTTTACAGTTTTTGCAATAAGAAATAATGCTGTCTTTGCATAACAAACTTTTTTTTTCTTTTTGATAATATTCTGCAGGTATACAGTTTGGCCCAATGACAGGATTACTGGGGAAAAGGGTATACTTTTGTATTGTACTGTCAGATTGTTCTCCAAAAAGATCCCACCATTTCCAGAGCTCTTTCACCTCGCCCCCTTTACTAAGCCTATTCTTATTCCTGTGCGGGAGCTGAAGGGACCAAGCTTCTTAGCCATTCCTGGCTTCTGAACTAGCTTGACTGCTTGAGTTCAGAATTCTGCCTTATCTGAACCCCAACCTCTACCTGTTTCCCTGCCTCTGATGCTGCCACCCTTTCCAGGTCTTATTTCCTAGCACTCCTGTTCCCTACTGCTATGAACTCCACCTCCACAAGAGTTCATTTATTAGGGTTTGTTAACCAGGAAAAGGAGTATTAAAGTATTAACAAGGGAAAGGTACAGAAACAAGTACAGAAATAATATAACCAGGCAGATGTATATAAGAAACCATCTTCATTCCAGACATGGTCACCCTAAACTTTTTCAGTTTTCCAGGCTAAAGTTGCCCTCTTAATCCCTTCAAATGCCTGGAGTGAAGTCAATAGGTTTACCCCTCATATGACCCTAGACAAGAATAATGGTTTTTTGTCTCAAACATATCCAGGCTAAATTTGGGGTTTACCCTTTTAGGCTTGCAGGAGCTAGTTTATTGATCTGCTTTTTCAATCCCACCAGTCAAGAAGCCTCATGGTGGCATCTTGGTGATCATCCTATATGATCATTTACCTATTTAGAAACATAACGGAGCCCAACTCTAGCTCAGTTAGAGGACAGACAAGAAATGTGAACAGCTAAACAAAACAATCCTTGAAACCAGAATAATTTAACAGTATACACAGATTATTCCCCAAATTTACAAAATACAGCTTTCTTTACAGGCGCTCATTGTATTT